AAACTTTAAGGAGGATCTTTGAAACAGCCACTTATCAGGAAAATTTTTTGACAAAAATCTCCAGAGATTTTTAGGCATAAAACTCTGAAAGTACTTTATTATTATTAGAAGTCTCCAAAGTATAAATTTATATATAGAACTCTAGAGATTTTTGAATATTTTAAATTTTAATAAAATAATTTTATATTATTATTAAAATATTTATTTTTAAAAATTTATTTATTGAAAATTACTTTTTTTATATATTTTTATTAATCATTTACATTTATATCACTTATTGTTAAGGTAAACCTTTCTATTTTTACATTTTCTAGTTGTAATTATAAATCATTTTTATCATTTTTTACTACTTCTGGAGTACTTTGAATTTCAATATCTTCTTGCTTATGCATTTCTTGATCTTCATTGCTTGAATTGCTTTTCATAAATATGATTTTCTTTTTAATTTTTTCCTAAAATATATTATTAGTAAACAAATAATTCTATAATACTTTGATTAATTTTAAATCTTATCTTATTTTTTTCTATTTTGCTTTTAATTAATGCTTTATTAATTAAAATACTTTCATTACTTAGATTTAGAATCATTTGACATATTGTAATAGCGAATGCAACTTGTTTCTTGACATTTATTTTGACTAGACTTTTTAGAGAATATATGCTATCACACTTTGGTTTCCTCCCCTAGGATAGACATGAAAATTTTTAAAACATTTTCAGATTTTTCACGATTTTTTTCAGGTTATAATTTCAATAGCAGTTGCATTTGTATTGATTGTATTCAGGGAGTTTTTGTTAAAGACTAAAAATATTGCATCTGGATTTTTGAAGTCATGGTTCCTCGAAGCAATCTGTGTTATCTCTCAAGCTATTAAATAAACAATATTATTAATAAATTTATTTATATTATTAATAACTGCAATAATTACCATTTGCTAAATATGTTTCTCATAATATGTCTTATAATGTTTTTTTATGAGGCCTTTTAAAGAATTCTAAATATTTACACTGAAAATATTTCTCTATATATTAACAAAAATCTTCAGGATCTGCATATATATTTTCAAAAAAGACTTCTTTCACAATACTTTCGATTACATGCTATTATAGAATCTAAAATGTTATTAAAGTTCTTTGAAGATTAAAAATTAAACCTTATCTTGATGAAATCCTATTCAATAATTAAATATTAACTCATGTGAATTTCATTTTCTAGATGAGTAAACTTATTCTCGATGGCTTTTTGATGTTTTAATAACTGATCAATTTTCTTATAAAGACTTATGTGAGACTCCAAAAGCCTCTTGATTACTATATTAGAAACTAAATATACAAATTAGTATTTATTTAAATAGTTACATTTTTTTTAATATATCTAAAGATTCTTTGAGCAAACTTTTGGTAGGTAAAGATTCTAGAATATAACTGAGGGAATCGTAATTGTTTTCAGGATGGTTCTGTTTTCATTTCAGCTTAACTTGGAATATCAGAAGTACTCTTGGGCTTTTTGGAGGACTTCGAAATATCCTTTTCACCAGAGCTTGAACCTGAAATTATTTGTCGAAACATGTTACACATTTCTTTTCTTTTATTTAATATTAATAAAAAAGAAAGGACTTTAGAGATCTTATATAACACAAATCCCAAGAAGTTATATTATATTAGGACCACATACAACTTTTTGTCACCTTTCGAAAATTATTTCATAGCTTTAAAAATGAAATAATATTGAAATCATATTAATAAAATTATGACAATTTATAAATTAAATTTTTGATTGACTAAAATTAGTCAGTATTTTATTGATTAATTTTATTTCAATATATATATTATTACTTTGAATATTTCTGAAATTTTTTTGAAATAAAAAATCTTTGAAGTTTTTTATTATTAAAATTAATGAAATTATTCTTGTCTTACAAATTTTCAAAAATTTTTCAAAAATTTCTGGAAAATTTTTAATAGGTGGGAGATTTTCAGTGTTCTTTATCAAAAAAATTTTCTAATGCTGTATTAAAATAATAAAGTAAAAAAAGAAATAAAATATTATTGAAGAGAATAAAAGATCCAAAAGACTTGAATATAGATTTAATGTACAGATTATATAAGAGCAAAAAGAACTTACAATATTTTTAGAAGATTTGAAGTAGGAAGCTTTTGAGAAAAAGGAAAAAAAGAAATATATGAAAATATTAAAAATTGAATTTGTCATGAGTTAAATGATTTAGTTTTTAACTATAAATAAAATTTAGAATAATCTATAGTAAGGATCTGTAGACAATAATTTTATTGACTAAAGAATTTATTCAAGTCAGTAAAGAAACAAAATATTATTTCTTAAGTTATATCTAAAAAAATAGTTTTTTGATAATAAGTGAGTTAATATGTGAAAATCAAAATATCTTGTAAATATTTTTATATATATACAATAAAGATATGTTATACTGATCTGATTGTAAGTATAAAAAAAAAAATTTGTTATACTGTATATAAATTTTTTTAACTTTTTAATTAATAAAATTTTATCTTTAAATCAATTTTCAAAATATTTTCAAAATTTATTATTATTTTTCTTTTTTTTTTTATTATAATTTTCTTTAATTAAAAGTTTTATTTTTAATAATTAAAAAAATTGAATTATTTATATTTTTTAAACATTATACTTTTATAATTTTCTTTAAAAATTTTGTTTATTTAAAATAATAAATAGTATAAAGATGATTAATTAATATAAAACAGATTAGTTTTTGAAATATAAATAAGTTTCTATTAATTATTTTTATATATTTTGATAATATTATCAATAATTTAAAAAGAAAAGTTTTTTAAAAAAAATTTTTTTTAATTGAATTAATTGTAAGAAAAACAATTTTATTTAAATCAATATTTTTAATATAATACTAATACAAAAAATATAATTAGTATATTTATATATTAATTAAAAAATAAAAATTTTAAATATTTTAAAGAAACATTATTATTTAGAAATAAATAAGTTTTTTTTAAATAAATTAAAGCCAAAAAATATTTTCTTTGAAAAAAAATTACCAATGTGAATAAAAAATTTTTGAAGAAACTATGAATTGAAGATTTTTTTTTTAGAATAATTAAATATAATAAACTATTAATAATAATTCTAATAAATAAAGTTATAATATCAATTTATTAAATAAGTAAAGCATTGTTCTTTAAATCTGATTTAAAATATCTAATTTAAATTTTGGTTTGTTTAATTTGAACTAGTTTAATAAACTTCTCATATGATATATTAAAATAAACAAATTAAATGTTACAGCATATAATAATCAATATAATATTGAAAATATTTATTTAATATTATTTCAATTAATGTTAATTATTTATTTCTTTTTTTTAAAAAAAAAAAAAAAAATTAACAATAATACTCCAATTAATAGTAATTAATTATTTTTTTTTTCTAATTACATTCATGAATTACAAATGGTTGGAATATGACAATGTGTAGAATACATTGCATTATATGTGCATTTTAGATTTTCATACAATCAACAATAAATAATATTGAAACAAAGCAATATACTGTAGGCCCTTGATCCCGATTCCAAAAAGAAGTGGTTAATATTGATGATGATTAGTGAGCACACATGCACATCTATACTAATGCCAACTTTCCTTCTTTAAAATCTCTTTAATCTCCCCTAACCGAATTCCTGCATTTACATTCCACATTTTAACATTCTCTGCCCATATCTCCCACCTCTTTTTAGCACTCACCTCCTCCAGTCTCTCGCCAACAATAGTCTCACAGTGTTCTCCCGAAGCGAGGTTAAAAGAATCGGCATGTTTAAACTCCAGACACCATTTGAAGCCAGGTAACCATGCCTTCAACCAATTAAATGACACATTTGTACCAAGAGCAGTGGGACCAATGGGTCTTTTTGTGTAGGGCGTAATGGTGATCTGAATTTTAGACCGAGTCTTAAAATCGGCGTTCGGAGCAGCATCGGTTCTTGTCAAAATTGGAACACCCGCATATGATTCGAGAAATCCCAGTATCTCCTCTCGTGTACCGATTACAATGAAACATGAAGTTTGTACGGAAGAGAGAACGAGCTGGAAGAATTTCGAAGGAGGGAGGAGGCGTGTCGTTTGCGGATTGTCTTCTATTTTTTTTTTTTTGAGAAATTTAAAAAGATACACGTATGAATTAAATAGGATTACGCAAAAAAGGCGGAGACGACATTAAGCAAGTAAGAATGATTGGAAATGATGTCTAAGGAGAATCCTATACTCACGAATCAAATATCCATATTTCATTTTTTTAAACCAATAAACTCGAATGGTGAAGTTCTTATCACAGATTTAGGAATCAGGTGAGTATGGTTGCATGGGGTCACATTATTTGACGCCACAATTTGCTCGGCCAGTGTCAAAACACCATGAGTTGTGATGGATACGAGTTCGTATAGATAAAGACGTCGTTCTCCTATCGGGTACTACTAAATGTTTCCTTGTGAAGGGGGGGGGGGGGAATTCATCCGCATTCCATGCATTGATGCACGTCCATGCATTCATTTAAATCGAAATTCTGAATTTTTGTCACGAGAGTTTCGTATGAGGAAGCGATACAAAACCAATTTCAATTTGACGAGATCAAGTGATCACATACGGTACAAGTAAGGGTGAAACAGAAAAAAGTCTGCTGAAAAACATTGTTCACTTTTCATCAACGTGATCAAGTATCTTCTTTATCTCAAACGAAGACTCATGAACTTCCCAATTGGACCTCAAACAACCAATCACATATTTACGCATTGCAATTGTTTCTCACCGCTGATTTTTTTGGACTGCCAAATGAGCTTCTTCCGCTTGCATTGAATTTCACACGATTACGGAAATATTTGAAATCTTCTTTTTCTCCTTCATTCGTAACACGCGCTCAAGGACGGAAGTCTCTTGCGTAGGTTTAGAAGACGAAATGTGATATGTAATAATTTGCATTAAAAGCCTGCGCGCCGAGAATGACGGCTAAAGGAGGAGAGAACACATGTGATGCTTTGGTGCAACAGATGAAAGGTCGATTGTACAATCTGTGTGCGTATGCATGTAATTGACCACACTTGATTGTTCCTATTGTTGGTGGCAAATAATAACTTATCGAGTAAATTGGTCGGTCGCTTCGTTATCAACTATACAAGTCATAAATTTTTGCCGTTAGCTGGAAAAGGTGTAGTATTTCAGGTGTTTTTAAAATGACCGTCTCGACATATTATATTTCCTTTAATTCCTTATAACAAGATTCTTCAATGTCATTAGGTCGCAGGTCGCATAAGATGAAGTTGATTAGATTGGTGCACATACCGTATATGTACTTTTCTTTATTTGACCCTTTCAATTGATAACTTTGTGACACAAAGGATGCATTGACGAGCGCCGCGCCCTTTTATCGATTTACACTTCGAACTTGAATCAGATACGCAATGGAATTCATGAACACTGATGGTAGGAGAACAACCGTACAATTCGTACGCGCATACTTTCGCGATTTAACGTATCGCGGGAAATGGTCGTGATGTACTGTAATTCGCGTGTAACGAAAATTTCAGAGTGAAAAGTGTGTGTGCTACGGCAGACCGAAATTTCTTTTGGAAATTTATTTCCTATTTTTAGATTGATTGAAGAATTTCAATTCTCACCATCTCATTTCACCTTTGACCTATGGGTGAGGCACACACAAGCATACACAGAAAGTGATTCACATGTTCGACATCACCCTTGCGATCCACGCAGCTGACATGATACTCATTCACGAGGATTCTTGCTTTCTATTATGAGACCCTTTTCCATTTCCCGATGGATTCAATAAACACGAAAAAGGCGAATAAGGTCAACGGATTTAGGCTCGTAACGCAGTAGTCGCGATACGAATTCCATGAGTGTTCTATATGCAAAGACTTTGAGCGCATAGTTGATTGTTGACATATTAGTGTTGGTCTGCACATACGCATGCATGCATGCATGTAGACAGAGTGGCTATTTATCTGTACTTTGATTAAAAGGAAAGAAAAAAAAAAAAAAATCATATAAATATAATCTTCTAATCCCTTCTCCCAAGAATTGTGTTCGGCACAATAATCCTCAAAAAAAAAAGAACAGTCAACATGGTGGCAATAGCAATCCTGGGCTCCGACCCAATTACCTACTTCCTCGTCACCCACCTCCTCCACCACAATCACCAACCACAATATCAACACGATAACATCAACAAATTCTTATTCGTCGGTCATCCGACCAACAACGATTACGACTTTGAGAAAGTGCAACACGTGAAGGTGAAAACCTTCGACGACTATGAGATTGCCGTTCCTCGAGATCAGATCGATTACACCACAGACCTCAAGGCACTTGTGGATTTTAACCCCGACTACATGTTGATCACAATGAAAGGAAACCAGGTCGTTGAAGTTTTACAAGAGATAGTGGAGTTGGATGGGAAGACGGTGGTACGTATGATGAATGAGTGATCCTTGAAATTTCTGGCGTGTTTCTCCTCTCGCTCAATAATTCCCTTGTCCTTTTAAAGGTCGTGACACTCAATGGCTATCACAATTCGGAACTTGTTCGAGTCGCATTGCCAAACACAAAGATCATCGAAGGCATGATCATGCAATCCATCTATCACCTCTCCGATTGTCAATTCGTTCAAGAATCCGAGGGTTTCATCTACCTCCAACCCACGCCCGACACTCCTCCCATCCAACAAATCTTCCAACAATCTCAACTCACCGTTTACATATGCAACCACATAAAGAGCTTCATGTACGGCCATCTAGTCATGAATCTCGCTGATGCCATAGTGGCTTTGAGCGGATTACCTTTCGCGCAGTTTATCAAAAGTAAAAGGTGGCGAAGGATATTGGCATCATCCATGTGGGAGGCATTTGAGGTGTTTAAACATCACAAGATCGTGCCTCTCGTGCCGGCGAGTAGGTTACCGTCTTTTTTGAACACCTCTTTATCTTTACACTTGCTTCCTTACCTGTTGCTGTCCCCTAATTGGGTATTAAACTCGGTGGTAATTAATCTACTGAGGAGCGATCCCGTTTCCGTGTCATCAATGTCCAGGGACTTTAAGCAAGGTCGTAAAACCGAGATTGAAGAATGGCAAGGAGAAATCGTCAAATTGGCAGGTGCTCGCGGATCGGTTAAGACCACATATAATGGCGGCGTGTATAGGTTGGTGAAGTTGGTGGAGAAATCGATGACAGAGGAGAAAGATGGTTGGAAGGTTGCTTTCACTAGGGAGGAAGTAATTGGTTACATTGAACGCGGGACCATACCCATCTGCTTAACCTAACCCACCTCTACAAATTATACGAAGGTGTCATCCAAAAGAGTAACCAATTTTGTATAGATATTCACATTTTATTTATTATCCCGCTCATAGATCCTTTGCATATTCTATAGATACAATTTTAGATTCTTTCATGTATTTAGTTATCATGAGTTGATTGTGCAAGAAACAAATTGAATACCATGACATGTATTTATTAAAATAAAATCAATTGTTTATTGTTATTTCATAAAACTTTGACCCTCGGAAAAATTATGCTTCGTACAGAGTAACAAGATAGATGACAACCGATTCATTACCTGTAACACCGGTAACGACCGTTCATATCCTTCGACGTTTTTTCGGTTCCGGAGTTTGAACTCCTTGATCGGAAGACGACGCTACTTTACCATCACCGTCCTCTCTTGTCCGAGATGTTGCTGACACGGTTGATGCTTCTTTCAACCGTTGGCGTATCGAGAGGACTGTGGACGACTGGGAATCCTAAAATACTTCCCCGAAAAGCGAGACCGATTGAGCAAAGCTTTCCGAGCTTACAAAAAACTTAAAAGATGATTCGAAAAATTTTACATCGGACAGAATGTGTTGCGGTTGGTAGGATGTGACCGCAAAGCTTGTTGAAAGTGAAGACTGGTAATCCATACCGGGTATTGGGGGCTCCGGACTAATTACTTATGTTAGTTATATGGTGAACGTGTTTCGATCTTTTTTAAGAACCATTCTGGCGGAAAATTGGATTTCACCAACCTTTGATACGCCTCGTATGTTGCGTACGGGTAATTATAATAATACTCCGCGTAATTATAATTGCCATAGCTATACGCAGAAGGTTCCAATTGCGGAAAATTATGTATTGACGGCGTAAGAGAGGCAGGTTGTGTGGCGGATGTTGAGGGTTGGGAGAAACCTATCCCGAAAGAAAAAAAAGCAACACAGAGTTGAATAAATTCATACTCTGACCTGGACAGAAAAAGAAAAAAAAAATTTTTAATCTCATTCCACCTTGCGTTTCTTTCTTCTTCTCAAGTCGCTTTTCAATTTTGCGTTCTTGGGTCTTAATATCAATCACCTTACGTCGGTCATCCAATTTTTGTCGTGTGTCCTCGATAGATTCATATTCGGGTCCGTATCGGACCCTTAGGTTTGAACCGAAGAAGACGTGATCATCAGCCTTTCTCTTCGCCACTCTGGAAATGAGTTGTGAAAGTTGGATAGCATCATTGTGCGGACAACATCATGACACTGTTTCGTTGGATGAAGGTTACCTAGCTTCAGCGATCGACTGAAATTTTATCCAATAAACATCTGTGAATTCTTCGCACAAATAATCGTCCATGTATCGATATCTAAAGGAATCGAGGCCAGTTGTAGATGCGATACCGAAATTATGAATCGAATCAATATAGAATCGCACGCTTACTCCTCGATGGTTCCGTAGAGTGCGAACAATTCGAGCAATTCTTTTTTCAAGTTTAGTGCCGGCACGTTCTCGACCACCAAATACCTATTAACGCAAACGACCGGGTCATTAGTCGCGCCACCGCGTTCAGTTAACTTTTTGGTTGCATATTTTATACCTGGATTCATGGTTCACCGTGTAAACCTTGACCGCCGTCGGCCTACGCCCGGCCCGGTATTTGGGCCTCTCGACCGAAACTAAACTTTGTGTAGAGAATGCAGGTTACTTGAGACCTCGATAAAAAGACGCATGTGATGTCATTGATGATGCAATTTTCTCTTTAGAAGCCTGACCATCGGATTCGCCCATGCTGGTGAAAGGAATCTACACCGGCTCGACTTTCATTAGGTACTTATATGGAACTTGTCACGTGTATAATCATGTGACCATACGAGAATAAAAGAAACCACTTTCTCAGATCGCGATAGATTTTGGGACACGGTAGTTGGGAAATCGATAAAAAAAAATGAAAAAATAAAGGTAGGCGTCGGAGGACGACGAAAAAGGGAGGAATGTTACCTCTTAAACTTGCTGTGTCATAATGTGCGTAAATTGGGCGTTACTCTCAAGGGATGCATTCCGTCGAAAAGCTTTCATTTCTGACGCAACTGTGATGAATCATGTTGGTATTTAAAATTCGCAAATTGTTTATTCACGGAATCCTTGACAATGTCTTTAAGGAACACCAATGCTGGTGTAGCAATGATCAACATGAACACCAAGTTCGGACATGAGCATGTGATACACTGTACATACAAAAAAAAAAAATAATTTATTCATTTTATTCCGTCTCTCATAATGTTGCAAGTAGCAACACTTCCGTACCTATGCATCATCGAGATTGCCGAGAATTTTCATAACAATCGTCAATCCTTGCGTTCTTGCCTTTTAATCAACAGACACTGGTGTCGAAATATTGTTCCAATATTATGGCGAGATCCGTTTCGATCAATCCCTCTGGTATCATCAATTCACCTGATAAACTCGTATCTGCAATGTTGTTCGAACAAGGAGCTGGACGAAATCTTGAGTGGATCAAGCGATTTCATACGTTCCTCAAACGTCCCCTGCTTCGATTACCCTCAATACCTGAGGACGTTAAACGTTTCTCGAATAGGAGCGGCGGTCCGGCACTGGCTAAAATTTTCATCCAAGACTCTCCTCAACCAGCGAGAAATTCCTGCGTGGGAAGAAAAACAAAAGTCATTTTGCAGATTCTTCACAAATAGATCATCAGCCATTGATCATGTCATTGTGGACATGACCCTACGATCACCAAGGAATGAAGCGTCAATTTCCGAAATTTTCTCATACCCGGGTGCAAAACTGAGCATATCCCATTTGAGGGAAGTCGAATGTTATGGGATGTTTGAAAAAACCGAATTACTTCAACTCCTGTCGAAAACTTCAAAGGGAATACGTAAATTATCTGTGTCCATCATACGAACGGAAGGCGAATTGTCAGCCTTGGTCGCGCTCATACATGCTCAAATTCGTTTATGTGACGTCACCTTGGCTGACTGCTTTGACACGGCCGAGATGGTTGTCAAGGCACTCACGAGTTGCAAGTCATCGTTGAGACACATTAGGCTACTGGGTGGCGTGTTCGATTGTCAAGATCTTCGATCACTGCTGGAATGTGATCAGATGGAGACACTGATGATAGCCGATTGCGCTATCAGTACAAGTTTGAAGTGTAGCTCCGGTGACACGAGAAAAATTCCGGAACTGAAAAAATTACGCGAGATCACAATCCAAGACACCTTTGTCCCGAGGGGTCTGCTCGTGCTCTATCTGCAAGCGGCCAATTCCAGCATTCGAGAGGTCTCTTTGAGTGAACTGATAACAGCAGATACCAACGAGATTATTCATGCCATCGCCTCGTATTGCCCAAATCTCCGAGTGTTCAAATTATCAATAGATCACGGACAATTCAATATCCTCTACCGCCTGCTTGAATCCTGCAAGAAGTTGAAGAATATTTCCATTGATAGCATCGCGGAAGATCAAAAGGGTTGGCTTGAGATTGATAGGGAGAGTGAGGTTGATGCGAACGAAATTCTACCTTCGCTTGGGAAACATATCCCATCGTCATTGAGAATCCTACGAATATGGTCAAATTGGGTATTTACCCCGGAAAGCCTTGAACAATTTTTCATCAATTCCGTGGCAAAAATAAAAATCCTGGATCTTTCTTATTGCGAGTGTATAAACGATCAACATCTTGAAATCCTTTTAAAGTACGCAAAAGTGGGAACATTAAAAGGCCTCTACGTGGATCGAGCACGACATTTATCGGCGGAAGCGGTGGACTACGCAGGACAATTCATAGACATTTGCTGAAAACGGAAATCCGTATTTTCCGAAAGTTCGAGCTTTTTGGTTATTTGTTTCTAACGCAATTATGATCATAATTGTAATAATTGTAATTGTAATAATAATAATAATAATAATAATAATAATAATAATAAATATAATCTTGATTATAAGTACACCACATAATTCTTAATACGATCATTTCACGTGACCTGATCTTAAGTGTAGATACTTATGCACATATGATAATTTTACTAAAATCGGCTTAGCCAAGAAACGAAGTCTTAATAATCTCACAAAGAAAGATGCTGAAATACGTCATATTCACATCAGAAATAGGGCGTAGATTTCATATTACAAATAACATCGTAATGTATGCGTAATCTCTTGGACCGGAATTTCCAAAACTTCGTTCTCTTGTCGCGATTAATTACTATGATAATTGTCTTTGATTTCGGTATTTTGATTCGATTTCTAAAGATAGGACGAATGATGAAAAATTTCACGCTAACCTCTACTCTGAAAATTACATATCATGTAGGGCGTTCGATACACCGTGCATGCCAATAACATCATTTACTGATAAAAGGTTATAAAAGCAGGCATCGAATTCTTCCACTTGCAATCTTCACACCTCCATAAAAAATTTCTTCGTTTAACGTTTTAATTTATACCTCGAGCTAGAAAAAAAAAAAAAAAATGAAATCGTTCACATTTGTAATCCTGAGTGTTATCGTTGCCTTCTTTGCAATGTCACCTCTGAATCCAATCAATGCTCAACTGAGCACCACGACCACGACCACTTCGACCTCGAGCTTATCTGCCACCTTAACCACCACCACGACTCCCATAGTCACGACCAGTCCACGTAAGTTTATATTCTCGAGTTCATGGCACCAATTCACAATTTGTTTCTGTAAATCCTATCATTTTTTCTTGCATTGAACAGAAACGAGCACCGCCACCGCCACCACCGACACCTTCAGTGTAAATCCAACCACGTTCACGCGAACTGCCCCAACTTCTACCACAACTGTCAGCCCCTCTTCCTCCTCCTCGAATGCAGCCCCCACGTTATACGTTCAAGGCTTTGGGGCTGCCATGGCTGGCGTCGCCGCTGTAATCAACTTTATAAACTGATTAAAAGTCAACATTATTGTTAGAATTGGGATAAAGAAGGGTTTCACTTCTTTCGTGTTGTATTGATGAAATTACATCATTTTCCTGGTTTTTTTTTTTTCGCATCTTTTTTTTTCCTCAGCTATAACTATATTTCATTTTATTATTATTATTTTGCTTCTGCGTTTCCCTTAAAACTTTTACGCTCGTAAAACCCATTTCCATGTATCTTCCATTTATTACTTTCCTCATTTCTTATTTGTAACAACATATTTAATAAAATTTCAAAGAAATGTATTGATAGGAATCGAGGCAGTATCTCCATATTTGGCAGTACCTTGCGATACTGCGCAGTAAGTTTCTTTCTTCTTTTTTTTCAAAATTCCCCCCCGCCTTTGACGTAATGCCCAATGAATCTCGAATTTTTTGAAATCATAACGCAATATGCCGAACGAATGGGTGCTTCCCTACCGATTTCATCGACTCAGAAACCTCACGTGTTGCCCCATTCGTTTTCACGCTGTATGCGCGATACGATACGTTTTTAGAATGTTTGCCCATATGATACAAATCAAGTCGCAATTATTATTATTCTATGCGGAGTTTAATTAAATTAAAACTCTAAATATTATATATATATATATTGGCACAAGTTTTTTCGTTTTTCGAGCATTAACGATGCAGCCTTTTATACGTCAATCTGCAAAAAATACCAAAACAGTTAATAGTATTAATATAGTTGCCAATAAAATCTCAAGTTGAATTCAAAATTCTATTATCCTATTTAAATGGACATTTTTTTTGGTTGATTACCCACTTTATCATGTGAAATGTCTATGGATCGACACCACTTTTTTTCAACCAGATCTAATATAAAACCGATGGAACAATCATTCGTCGCAATGTTTGATTGTAAACACCGACCTTCCTGATCAAGATGTCCGCGAAAGCAATTCGAGAGTACGATGGAAAACTCCTTTTGTCCCATTGGCTTCTTCGCTCCCCATTTCTCTTTGAGACCTCGGACGCGTCCAAATTTGCACCACCAGTTTCCAAACTTGCTCACGTCTCTTTCGACACCTCCATCCTCGCAGACGCAACCAATATTAATCCTCAAATAGTCTTCAACAATCATGTTACTCGAACCCTAGATACCTTGGAAAACACGCATCCTTGGTTATTGACCGACAAGTTGGTGGTGAAACCAGATCAGCTCATAAAAAGACGTGGAAAGTCGGGACTGTTGCTATTGAATGCTGATTGGAAGGATGTCAAAGAGTGGCTTATCGAAAGAGCCGGCAAAGAAGTTCAGGTGAATTAAAAAGGAGATCACTACATTACGTAAACATCATCTAATAATCAATGTGTTTTTCAGGTGGATCATGTAACTGGAGTGTTGAAAACTTTCCTCATCGAGCCATTCGTTTCCCATCCCTCGCACACAGAATATTACATCAACATCAATTCCGTTCGCGACGGAGACTACATCCTGTTTACTCATGAGGGCGGTATTGATGTGGGTGACGTTGACGCTAAGGCGTTGAAAGTATTGATTCGCGTGGATGAGGGTTGCCCCACGTTGCAGGAGATTAAAGAAAAGTTGTTGGTTAACGTTCCGGAAAACAAGAAAGACATATTGGTTGACTTTATCTCTCGTCTATATTCGGTGTACGTTGATCTGCATTTTACATACCTTGAAATTAATCCGCTGGTTGTGTTGGATCCTGGATCCGCCGAAGAGGCTCCAAATATATATTACCTGGATTTGGCCGCCAAACTAGATCAAACGGCAGAGTTCGAAGCTGGGCCGAGATGGGCAATCGCTCGTTCGCCAAAAAACACCGGTATTCATGCCAATAATGGAAAATCGAAGACCCAGATCGATCAAGGGCCGCCAATGGAATTCCCTGCACCTTTCGGCCGAGAGTCAACCAAGGAAGAAGCATACATACAAGAGTTAGATTCAAAAACCGGTGCATCCTTGAAGCTAACAATTCTAAATAAAAATGGAAGAATATGGACCATGGTCGCTGGTGGTGGTGCTTCTGTTGTTTACAGGTAAACCATTTGACTCCCTTTTCCCGGCTTAAATGTGCGTCGAGCTTTAATCGTCGTTCCACTCTTTCGTCTTATAGTGATGCAATCGCCTCTCTAGGATTTTCCAGTGAACTTGCCAACTATGGTGAATATTCGGGAGCTCCAACAGAGACGCAGACATACGAGTATGCAAAGACGATACTCGATTTGATGACCCGGAACCCTGTGCCACATCCGGACGGAAAGATATTTATAATTGGTGGTGGGATTGCAAATTTCACAAACGTGGCCGTCACTTTCACGGGTCTAATTCGGGCGTTAAAGGAATTTAAACAACCATTACTATTGCACAGAGTAAGGATTTTCGTGCGTCGAGGTGGTCCCAATTATCAAGAAGGTTTAAGGGCCATGAGACAGTTGGGTGACGATCTGGGCATCGAGATTCACGTTTTTGGCCCTGAAACTCACATCACCGAGATTGTCCCCTTGGCATTGTTGGGACACGGGTCGGGACTGGAAAAAAATATTTCTGAACGAACCCTCGAACCGGCAAACACCTTGCAAGATCAAATTTTCGATTCAGACTCCGTTAATAAGGACAAAAAACAGAGTAGCAACAATATCGCCGAGGCGACTCCAATCACTAATCCACGGGAACGAATGACATTTTTCGAAAATCCCACAACTCGAGAACGTCCATGGTATGCTGCGTTTACTAACGAAACGCGTGCTTTTGTGTATGGGATGCAACCTCGCGCGGTGCAAGGAATGCTGGACTTTGATTATATTTGTAAACGACACGTCCCCTCGGTTGGCGCAATGATTTATCCATTCGGCGGAAATCACGTGCAAAAATTTTACTGGGGAACTAAGGAAACCTTGCTTTCCGTTTACAATAACCCCGAGGATGCCATTAAAAACTATCCAGAAGTTGACACAGTCGTAAACTTTGCCTCTTCCCGTTCCGTTTATGAATCAACCCTTGAATTTTTCAAGTATTCCAATCAAATCAAAACAATTGCCATTATTGCTGAAGGTGTTCCTGAGCGTTATGCTCGAAAGATTCTTCATGAAGCTAAGAAACGAGGCGTTTTGATTGTAGGCCCAGCGACCGTCGGCGGCATCAAGCCTGGTTGCTTTAAAATTGGTAATACCGGAGGGATGATGGACAACATAGTTTCATCAAAATTATATCGTCCAGGCTCGGTAGCCTATGTGTCAAAATCTGGTGGAATGTCCAATGAATTGAATAATATCATCTCCAGGACGACAGATGGCGTTTACGAGGGGGTGGCCATTGGTGGTGATCGGTACCCGGGGTCAACTTTTATTGATCACTTGTTGCGTTTTGAAAGTGATCCTGCATGTAAGATGTTAGTCTTGCTTGGCGAAGTTGGTGGAGTCGAAGAGTATCACGTGTGTAACGCTCTTCGCGAAGGACGCATCAAAAAACCCTTGATCGCCTGGTGCATTGGGACTTGTGCCAAGATGTTTTCAACCGAGGTACAATTTGGCCATGCAGGTGCCTTAGCTCAATCAGACTTGGAAACTGCTGACGCGAAGAACAAATCTCTCAGAGATGCGGGCGGTATTGTTCCGGAAACTTTTGAAAAATTGCCTTTGGTATTACATGAGACCTACCAAAAACTTGTTTCAGAAAAGATTATCATTCCCGCGCCAGAACCAGAAATCCCCAAGGTACCAATAGATTATTCTTGGGCCCAAGAGCTTGGTCTAGTTCGCAAACCCGCAAGCTTTGTGTCGACTATTTGTGACGATCGTGGTCAGGAATTATTGTATGCGGGAATGAGGATATCAGATGTGTTCAAGGAAAACATTGGAATCGGTGGTGTTTTAAGTTTACTTTGGTTCAAAAGACGTCTTCCGGACTATGCATGCAAATTTATTGAAATGATATTGATGTTAACCGCGGACCATGGTCCCGCCGTCTCTGGGTAAGGGTTTCTTTAGCTCGATTGACAAGCATTCTATTATTCAAATCTCATTTTACCGTCTGGATCAACCGATCACCTTTGTATGCCTAAAGCGCTCATAACACTATCGTTACTGCTCGTGCGGGCAAAGATCTCATATCGAGCTTATGCTCTGGATTACTGACGATAGTAAGTTAACGTACGCCTAATTGCACCATCGAAATATTTTCCTTTCGAAATGACATCAAAATAAATAACATCTATAGGGAGATCGGTTCGGAGGCGCCCTTGACGGTGCAGCCGAGCAGTTTACCAGTGCTTACGATAAGAGTCTAACGCCTCGGGAATTTGTCGATTCGATGCGAAGACAAAACAAACTGTGAGTTGGGAAATCGCCAATATAGCCCTCGCGTAACACTGATGTTTTTATTCCTCCGTTCCGCTTTTTAGCATCCTTGGTATCGGTCATAAAATTAAATCACGCAACAATCCTGACCTCCGCGTGGAGATCATCAAAGATTTTGCCAGGAGCAATTTTCCTGCCACAAAGTTGCTCGACTATGCGTTGGCTGTTGAAGAGATAACTACCAACAAAAAGGATTCGCTCATTCTTAATTTAGATGGGTCTATTGCTGTTTGCTTTGTCGACTTGCTGCGTGAGTCAGGTGCCTTCACAAGAGATGAGGCTGAAGAATATATTAAGATTGGCGCATTGAATGGATTGTTTGTTCTCGGAAGAAGTATAGGCTTCACCGGTAATTATTATTGAAATACTGCAAACCATTATTATCGTCATGGTTCACCTCTTCACCTCTTCACTTCTTCACTTATTAGGTCACTATCTGGATCAGCGAAGACTGAAACAAGGTCTTTATCGACACCCATGGGATGATATTTCTTATTTGGTACCGGGCGCGGAAACCGGTCGTACATTTGTTAGTCAAGACACGTTTGAGAAAAACTTATAACTTATGATTACGACCGAAATGTGAAGGTTTTTATTTAAAATTATGGCACTAATCTAATATATCAAGCTTGTATGCCAGTAACGATCACCTCAGGTGTCTCAATGCCGGAAAAATGGTAAAACCATGACTTGCTTTTCTCGGATTAGTTCTCGTTATATTTTTGTTGATGTTATTGTATTAATAGTCTAATAATTTTTAAGTAAATTTTGTTTCTCTTGAATAAAAAAAATTGATGCAATTCGATATAATTAATATATCTTTTATACTTGATTTTTGTTGCTCAGTATTTTTTAATTATTAATCAGAAATACTTGAAAGAGAAAATCAACTACATATTGGAATAAATATACAATATACCTTGAGTCAGCAATTAATTTATATTCTTTTAATACTGTATTAAATATTAATGACTTTAGATAAATAAAAAAATTTTTTTTATTAGATGGATTGAAAAATTAATGTAATCTATTTATCAAAATTTTAATAAAATAATATATCAGTATTTAAGAGAGATTTTTTTTAATACATCGGATAGCCGGGTTTTATTAGACATTAATTTAAAAGTACTTTTGAGATATAAGCTATTTGTAGTATAGATTTTCTTTGAACTAAATCTATAAAAAACAGTTTGTTACTATTAAGGAAATGATCTTTTCTGACTAACATTTTTATACAATTCAAACTAATCTAATGTATCTGAAGTTCTACTACTGTGTTATGTTAAAAAGAAAGGTAAAACATAGAAGAAAAAAGAAGAAAAATATGTTCTTGATTTAGAATATAAATTTTATTTTATTGAATAATAATAAATCAAATCTTTAGAAAATATTATTATTAATAAAAAGAATGTAAATATAAATCTATAGAAAAATAAAAAATAAAAAAATTAGATTATATTTAAAAAATATATATATATATTTTTTTTTTTTTGATGGGTTCATATTTAACTTTATTGATTTCCAAATTACATGTATATATTGTGTAAAACGCAGGTACATAAATATACATTTGAGATCAATAAAGATAATGATAAACTAAAGCTATTTTTAAAGCTACTTAGAGACTTATTGCCCTTTCTTTTATCAAAGACAATCAACATTCCTAAAGCATGCTGATGTCATAAAAGTAAAAATAAAAAAAAAAAACAAAAATGAAATTGAACAATCATATGTATTTTTGAGAAAATATCAATTCTGTTTTTTGATACATACCTGTATTATTTCAGTTTCCCTTGTGAAGAAGTTTAAGTGAAGAAACTTTTACTAAATCTTTATGGAAATAAAATGGAAACCATCAAGAGAGACTTTATAGTTTTAAGGCTTGTAGAAAGGAAGTAATCAGAAAGACTCAAGTGATATATTGGTATCTATATAAATGACTTAAAAGTCTTCCAATATATAGTCAATTAAATACATTCTTATTTAAATATAAATATACTTACCTATCTATGTATCTTATTTCAGATTTAATCGCCGATGATAAATACTGTATATCTTGCCAATGTCTATTGATATTAATGATCAATAAGAATTTTCTAGATTATTCAATTGGCTTATATATCACTACTAACATTTTTAAACTCAAGTTTCAATTGGTATAGTAATATTAGTCTTCTAGTCTTTCAACTTGGGATTTTTTGAAAATAGTGTGATCAAATTTATATTTGACCGGTGTGTCCAAGTGAAATTGCTTTTAAAAGGATAATTCCCAAAGAAAGAATTTAAAGAAGTGGTTTATAATAAAGAATTATTCAAGAAGAGATTCATCAAGAATTCTTTAAACAGTATCACACAGTGTTTCACAAGAAATATGGTTCGCTCAAAACCCAAGTTTATTAATAAATCAAGAAAACTAGAACAATTCCTTTAGTCCTAAAATCAAAAGAAGATATCCA